AATTCATCTAAGAGCTGGGCATGTTGGCTCACGCCTATAATCCCAGCACTTTGGGAGGTGGAGTTGGGCAGATCACTTGAGGCCAGGAGTTCGAGACCAGCCTGGCCAAACCCCGTCTTTACAAAAAATAGAAAAATTAGCTGGGCACTGTGGCGCATGCCTGTAATCCCAACTACTTGGGAGGCTGAGGCAGGAGAATCACTTGAAACCGGGAGGCGGAGGTTGCAGTGAGTCAAGATAATTGTCACTGCACTCCAGCCTGGGTGACAGAATGAGACTGTCCTCCCCCCCAAAAAAAATGTCTTTTAAGTTATTCTAGAGAACATTCTCAAGTTTAACGTGTTTATAAATATAGTATTTTTCCTATTGAGGTTTTTGTATATATTGCTGTTATTACACATTATTCTCTGTGTACGCTTTAAAATTGCCATTTTATTAAAGATGTTTCTAATAATAGTTTTTCATATTCTTTTTATAGTACTTTGCCAGACCTTTATCAAAATGGGACTGCTGTCTTCTTTCACTTGTAGTGACGAGTTTAGCTCATTGAGACTACATCACAACAGAGCTATTACTCACCTAATGAGGTCTGCTAAAGAGAGAGTTCGTCAGGTAAGCCCTAAAAAATGTGCTTTGGGTATGACAAAAATATCCTTTAATTTTAAGAGAACATATTTTAAAGCGCTATGTAATTCTAATTATAAAACAAGGTTTTAAAAGTATAAACTCTAGGCCAGGGGTGGTGACTCATGCCTGTAATCCCAGCACTTTGGGAGGCTGAGATGGAAGGATCATTTGAGGCCAGGAGTTCAAGACTGCAGTGAGCCATGATCGTGCCTCTGCACTCCAGCCTGAGCAACAGAGTGAGAACTTGCCTTAAAAAAAAAAAAAAAAAGAGAGAGGAGAGGCAAAGGAGAGGGCATAGATGGACTGGGATCTTGAGATGATTTTGTTTTTGTTTTGTTTTGTTTTGTTTTGAAACGGAGTCTTGCACTGTCATCCGGGCTGGAGTGCAGTGGCACAATCTTGGCTCATTGCAATCTCTGCCTCCCAGTTTCAAGCGATTCTCCTGCCTTAAGCCTCCCAAGTAGCTGGGACTCCAGGCACCTGCCACCATGCCCAACTACTTTTTTGTATTTTTAGTAGAGACAGGGTTTCTTCATGTTGGCCAGGCTAGTCTCAAACTCCTGACCTTGTGATTTGCCTGCCTCGGCCTCCCAAGTACTGGGAGTACAGGCATGAGCCACCGTACCCTGCCTCATTTATGGTTTTTACTTAGTAAGATGGGAGGTGGTACAGGATTTTGATTAGAGGAGTGACACAATCTGACTTACATTTTAGCAGGGTCACACTGGTTGCTGTGGTGAGAATGAACTGAGGGGGCACAGGCAGAAGCAGGGTGCCAGGTGCCACCATACACGCAAGAGAGGTGGGCAGGCAGGACGGGTGGGGAGCTCCTGCATGGGTTTTGAAGGTGATGTCAGTCTTGTCTGCTTCCTGGTCAATTCTCAGCTTTGAAATATTTTCATTTGTAAACTCTTAAGTAATGCTGAAAAAGCCAATGGTTTTTAAAATATTGTTTGTGTATTTGGGGTTGTTAATGTGATATTGAATTTTGATAGATTCTTTATTCCATGCAAGTTTTCCAAATGCTTTTAAAAAACAATTTTTTAATTGTAGGATCCCTGTGAGGATATTTCTCATATTCAGAAAATCAGGTATGTGTGAGAAACTTTCTTGATTATGCAGACTATTGAAAAGAAATCAGTATCAAGAAAATACTGGTTTGAGGTTGAGACATAATATCGTTAGTATTGTTTATGAACATGAAAAACTTGGTTCTCAGCAATTGAGTACTGCTCCAAGACTTACTTTGCTTCTCATTCCCTCCTCTTTGATCCTCTGGCTTTCAGCATTTAGCGTGGATTCCATGGTCACACTCTTAATTCAGATTCCTGATACCCAGGCTCTGCTGGGGGACCATTGAATTTTGGCTAGTTTAAATACTAGTTTAAAATCTAACTGGTCTGACCTAAATATTCATCAGCTCATGAATAGATAAGCATGTGGTCTATCCCTGCGATAAAGTGTTATTCATCTATTAAAAGGAATGAAGTACTGATTCATGCTACAATATGGATGAATCTTAAAAACATCCTACGTAAAAACAGCCAGTCATAAAAGGCCACATATTGTGTGATTTCATTTCTATGAAATGTCCAGAGTAGGTGAATCCATGGAGACGTAAATAGTGGTTTTATGTGGGGTGGTGGGTAAATATTGGGGTAAGGGAAGGATGGGGAGTGAAAGCCAGTGGATATAGGGTTTATTTTGGGAGTGATGAAAATATTCTGAAATTAGGTAGCGGTGATGGTTGCACAACTCTATGTACTAAAAACCACTGAATTGTACATTCGAGAGAGGTGAATTTGACAATATGTGAATTATAGCTTGATAAAAATAAAGCACTCTACATTAAAAAAAAATCTAACTGGTCTACATCATTAAGAAATTTAAGTAGCTGCGTATGGTGGCGCATACCTGTAGTCCCAGCTACTCAGGAGGCTGAGGCAGGAGGATTGCTTGAGCCCAGGAGTCCTGGGCTATAGTGCACTATGGCAGTCTGATGTCCGCATAAAGTTTGGCATAGTGTGGTGACCTTGACTTCCCTGGAGCAAGGGACCACCAGGTTGCCTAAGGAGGAGTGAACTAGCTCAGGTTGGAAACAGGGTAGGTCAGTACTCTGGTGCTGCTTAGTAGCAGGATCACACCTGGGAATAGCCACTGCAGTCTAGCCTGGGCAACATAGCTAGACCCTGTCTTAGAAGAAAAATAAAAAATACATTTCAGTGATTTTTTTTTTCTTTTTTTGAGACAAAGTCTTTCTCTGTCACCCAGGCTGGAATACAGTGGCACAACCTTGGCTCACTGCAACCTCCGCCTCCTGGATTCAAGCAGTTCTCCTGCCTCAGCCCTTGAGTAGCTGGGATTACAGGAACCCACCACCACACCTGGCTAATTTTTGAATTATTACTAGAGACGGGGTTTCACCATGTTGGCCAGGCTGGTTTTGAACTCCTGACCTCATGATTCACCCTCCTCGGCCTCCCAAAGTGCTAGGATTACAGGCGTGAGCCACCACGCCAGCTGAAATTTCAGTATATTTATTTCTGAGCTTAGCTAACCAACTGCGGGCTGTTAGTGATTCTTAGGATTTCTGCTGTACAAACCTGGTAATGATTTCTACTTGGAATACCAGTTACTGGTAAAACACTTGATTGTGTTTTCTTCAGAGGGATGAAAAATTTCATTTTAGCCCATCCTTTCCAAATCAGCACAACTTAGTGATACATGAGGTTTGTGAGGTTAGTAATCCCGTGAGCATGAAGTATCCTAGAACGTTTTGATTCTCTCACGTTTTAATATTGATTGATTGTATTTAACTTTCAGATCAAAGGAAGTCGCCTTCGAAGCACAGACTTCACGTTACTTAAATGAATTTGAAGAAGTTGCCATCTTAGGAAAAGGTGGATACGGAAGAGTATACAAGGTAGTCTTCCACGTACTTGTTTTGACCTAGTACCCTAAATAATTGTATTTTCAGACATTGTTTTCACTCTTCTTTTATTTATTTATTTATTTTGAGACAGGGTCTCGCTTTGTCGCCAGGCTGGAGTGCAGCAGCGCAGTCTCAGCTCACTGCAACCTCCGACTCCCTGGTTCAGGCTATTCTCCTGCCTCAGCCTCCTGAGTAGCTGGGATTACAGGTGCCC